GACTTTACATAATCTTTCAGCGCGACGGTAAAGGACTCGAACGACACGGTGCATCCGAAAAGCGCCAGAAAATCTCGGCCGACTATGCCATCATATCCACCCATCGGGTCTAGAACTACATGAAATTTATGTTTCAGATGTTTTATAGGCAATTCTATCGTCCCAAACGTTTCTACAATGCCAAGTCCCGCACCGACAATATATAACTTTTCCGTCTCATCTACGCGGGTAGCAGGGTGTAATGCTCGTATCCAGATAAGGCTCGCTTCCCCCCTCCCGTATCCACCAGGAATCCGGCTTGTCCGCGCTGGAGGGCCCGATGTTGGATATTTACAACGGGACAAGTTCCCTTTACGTGTTTAATTAGATTTTCACTCGGCGAAGAATCTCGGCTACTGAGACGGATTTGCGCCTTGGCCTCGCTCGTCCTTTCCGTCACAGGATGAGCGCCTTCCCCGTTTAAAGAATCGCTACGATTGTCGGATTTTCTGTCGGGGGTAGCGTCACGTCTTGTACGTCGAAGTTCGTAAGAATATTCCCTACTTTTAGCACCGTTGGGGCGCTCGATCGACCTCTCCCGTCGGGCATACTCTCCAGGTCCAGGAGAGAAGTGACCCGAGCCTACGCTTTGAGTTCTATCGGTGAGGCAATCACAGCAATGTTCCACTCGTTCCTTCCCCACTTGGGAAGACGTCGCCGTGCTGTAATTTTCACGAGAATTTCTGCGGTCTGAGGGATAATTACTGTCCCTTGAATTATCTCGGGTGGAACTACCCGACGGACCGTCGAAGAAATATCTGTCACGACTGCGTCGCTCGTCGTCGAAACAAACTGAGCGTTCACTCGAATAGCGACGGGAACTGTCGTTAGGGAATCTTTCACGGGGCCTCGACTCGCGATGCTCACGGTCATACTTTCTCGGATTACGCTCGTCCGATCGTCGATCTCGTGGGTCAACTCGTCGGTCATTACTATGATTTGGATTTTGTAGAATCCTGATAGGCGTAGCAAATTCTCTGTCCTCGTCTACTAATGGTTTCAATACTTCTAATGCTCTCTTCAGCGTATCAACTCCGAGCCTTCTCAATTCGGCTCGGTAATCAGAAGGTATCACTTTCATGAGTTTACGGAGAGCTTTTTGTTCTAGTAATTGGGTTAAAACTTCATAATGTTGAGGATGGAGAAGTTGCAACGTCGTTTTAGCATTACCAACAATTTTAATGAGGCGAAGGTTGAAGTCATCTAGTTCTTCGCATTTGTCGGGATATATAGTGGCAATTTTCTCCTCAAAATACGCTTGGCTATACCGTCTCCTGTACTTTTGACCGAGCAAATTTAGAATTTCCTATTTAGAATGGCCGATTCCAAATCGAGAAAATCCACCGAGGATTCGGGGTGGCCACTGAAATTCGGGATTGAATTGAACGTATCCCTGGCACGTAAATACTCAACGAAATCCGCCTCGACGGCCGTGGTATTTTCACCCAACGTTACTCTACTATTATTTAACTGGTTGCGCCGGGCCGCATCGTCGGCTGGTGCATCTCGATTTTGACCGTCGTGTCCATCCCCGTTCAAAGGGTCCGCTGGATTGACCATGTTTCTTAGTCTATAGTTCATTTACCGATAAAATCTTCTATTACAATAATTCTATTTATCCCTAGAAAATCAATTTCAGTCGAACCACCACAGTGAGGTTAGGTATCCCACTTCTGACACCAAAACTGTGAGAGACAGACGTAAGTCTGTATCACCCTAGTTGATGGATTTTAATTCCCATGACTTACGTTCATGCATGGAATTCATTACCCACCTATTTTATTGGATCCAAACCTTAAAGACTTTGCATCTCCTGCAGTAGTCGCGGCTAAAGGTAACTTTCGGACAGGAATATGTAAATGAACTCACGAAAAGATTAAGATTGACCCTAATACGGATTTATTCCATGAAAATTTAGTTGTCGTTAATACAATGTTCATTAATACATCGAGCGGTTCGATACGATGTGACACCGAGGAATACTACTTTATCGGACCGAGTGAATTTAGTGATTATGATTCTATTAAAGGAAAGTTTGTATCGTTTTACAATTTTACCATACTTTGATTTCGACAATTCCTTAGAGAGAGAGAGAGAATAACACTACCGCAAGATATCAACGAAGAACTAGATGATTTTAATTGAAGGATAGTTTAGGAAGTTTAGTGCACTCACCCTTACGGTTATACGGTAATCCTTGAATTACAATATTTTCGTTGCATTGAAGGTTCCAATATTTTCCCAGATGTAATCCAAGGGTCCTCGTCAGAGACCAGTCTACACCATTTAAACGAGTATAACTTTAATCCAGTCCACGAACGATTAAGTCAAAATTTATCAATTTAATAGTTAGTTTTCGAATGTTCACTCCTTGAGTCCTTGCTTACTTCACTCACACGAACCACGAAGATGTGCGTGATTGTTCGCGATAATACTGTAAAATACCGAATGGGATCGCAAACTATTAGCTCGGTCTATCGGTCCAAAAGCCTCGCAATATGAAGGGATGGATTGCGGCGTTGGCTAGTTTTATTGAAATCAAAGGGAATGATACAGGAGTCAAGCGGGGAAATGCTCGCTATAGCTCCGCAGGCGTGACTGTTGGTTGAAAGTTTTCTTATAGACGCGTTCGCGTGTCCAGAAAATGCTAAGACGGCATCTCCTGGACACACGTGCCTATAGGTGTGGGCCATGGATGTGGTGAGCCGAGGTGGAATTTGCAGAATTGCAAAATCCAGTCCGGTGAGCTACAGTATAACTTTACGAATTTAATAATTTAGTCTCACGAAACGACATAAAATTGATGAAGGAATTTTGTATATAACACAATTTTTAAATATTTGTCAAAGGTTTGATTTTCAATTTTTCAGTTTTTAGTTTTTAATTTTTTTTAATTTGAAATTTTAATTTTTCTAACCAGTCAATGTTTTTGTCCGGGTTTTTAATTTTTAATTTTTCAGTTTGTAGTTATTATTTTTAGGATCAATCAATTTACAGTTTTTGGTCAGAAGTTTTTGATTTTTAGTTTTTCAGTTTTTTAGTTTTCATCTGTCGAGTAGTCTTTCCTGGCTGTGCTCATGTGTCTGGTTAATTTTTACTGGTGTAAATACTGGGCCTTACCGCTTCATTACAGAAGTTTGGTACGTGCATCATGTGCAAACGTCGGAAATCCCGCGACAACAGTTGAATTCAAATTTGTTTAAATAGTATTTACTATAAATGTGAGACAAACTTTTTGATCTTCCTGGTGAGCGTAAAACAGTTATTCCTCTGAAAATTGCTCATGAAAGTATACTTAGTCACATCCCTTATTATCTATGTTTAGGAAATTTTCTTTGAGTTACTTATTTACTCGGTTTTATTGACAAAATCTCGAATTTCATAAAGAGGACATGCCACGGTAGTGACATTTAGGGTGGTTTCAGCTCTCTAGAGCTAAATAAACGGTCAGGGATGGCATCTGTTGTACGGAAACGGAGGAATGTCATAGTGTCTCGCGACAACCGGAGAAATTAGGATATTATGTAATAAGCATATGCTCAATATATGGAACTTCAGGAACCACCAGGAACAGGGAATACGGGACGACGAAGCATAGGAGACCCCCAGTCTAGGTGTTATTATGTCTATGGCGTACACAGTAACAGCTGAAGAGCAGTAACTAACCAATTTTACCAACGGATTTTTTTTTGCTCGCTAGGGAATTTCGGTTGAATATTTTCACCGTCCCCAAGTCATTTTTTTTAATGCATTCTGTAGGAAAACGGAGTACTTAATCAAAAATCGGGCTCCGTAGTTGAGTTCCCCGGAATGTTCTCTTTGTTCCTGATACAAATATTCATTTTTTCAAATCGTTTTTCATGTAGTTTCGTCCAAACACAGATATTGAAGAGTCGTGTTATGGACGTCAAAAGCATATATCCCTCCCTCTGGTTTGCCGTCGGGGGGAAAAAAAATGAAAAAATCTATTTTTCTCTCTTCGAAATTTTTCAAATTGTTTTTTTCTTCTTAAAAAATGAACGGAGATTAACATTGTTAATTCTTGCGATCGTATTCCGTTCACAGAAACAGGAAATACGGGAAATGCAGTGAAGGAATATCAGAAATAAATGTTAAAAATCGATTTTTCAATCTTGAAAATTTGAAAACTTTTTTTTTTAATAATGAAGAAGAACCAATGTATTCTCTTTGTATTATCTAATTTTGATGGAAGAATTAGATAATTCTAGGAAGTGAAAAGAGGAAGAGAGACGAGATCCACACGAAAACAGAATTTCTCATTCTTCAATGTCTAGGAAAATTTTTTAAATTGATATATTTTTTCGAATAATGAACCAATACCCATAAATTCAATTCCTATCCTCACATTTTCATAAAGTACCTAAAAAAAGCAAAGAATTCAAATCGGCTATGAAAAATTTCATCAGATTATTATTATTTGATGGCTTTCAATATTGATTTTTTCAACAAAGAACAATTGAATGCATGTCAGTTTCGGCGAGAATTTCACTCATTTTTCACGTGTTATTATCAAGTTTGATCTTCGGGATAAAGGCGCGGAAACGTCCAGGTGCAAATTGATAAGACAACAGTTCTGATTCACTAGAATTTTTTTTCACATTTCTGGAATTATTCACCTCTTTTGAGTCGATAAATTTTTTTATCAATTACTTGTAAACTTGAAAAAAAATGAAGACATGAAAATTTAACACTATTCAAAACTATGAAAGATTAGCTTGAAAATAGTGATTGTTGAAACCATTAAGGAAAATCCAAAACCATCGATGACAATAATTCTTTCTCATATAAACGAAAATCTGCAGAATAGTGATTGCAAGTAGACAAATTTGTTAATTTTGGAATTGTGATATTATTTACATCGATAACCATATAAGTACTTACGTTATTTTTCCAATTGCATATTCATAACAACTCATGAGAAATATTCTTTGTGATTACAGAATTGCATTATCAATTCCATTAGCAAATGCAGTGGAAATGCAAACGGAGGGTGCTACCGCATTCTCAAGATGTCAAATGTACGACGTCAACTTCACAGAAGTCATGCTATCGGGAATAAAGGTGCCCGATCTTTCTTGGGGTGTCAAACCCTGCTCAAACGGATGGAGCTTCAATTTTACGGCGATACCATACGCGTCCATCGCCGCTGAGGTAAATGGGGCTGCAAACAGCCCCCGAAAAATCTTTAGAAAAGGAGAAACCCATTGTTAACGTACTAGTGGCTAATGTTCTTTAATCGATAGATATTAACACGTAGATCACATTTTTCTAATGTTTTTTTCAACTTCGAGACTAACAAGGCCTTTGAAAAGAAAACTTGTTTGACGGGGGATACCCCCCCTGCTGTTTCCGCTCGCCAACTCCCATATGACCCCCATGATCCTTATTCTGACATTTGTAACCCTTAATCAGACCCATACGATCCTTAATCTGCCCCTTATTTGGACCCTTTTTCTGACCTTCGTGACTCTTAATCTCACCATCGTAAGACTCGTTCTGACGGTCATTATACCTCTTGTGACGCTTAATCTGATCCTTGTGACCCTTATTTGGACTTTTATTCTAACCCTTGTAACCCTTAAACAAACCCTTGTGTCCCTCAATCTGACCCTCGTGATCCTTATGACCCTTATTATGACCCTCATGACTATTATTTTGACCCTCGGGACCCTTAATTTTAGAGTCTTAATTTCGAAAAGTCGATTTGAATTTGTATAATATAGAGAGATTGAAAAAAGTTGACCATTTCCTCACAATTCAGGAAAAACCCTTTTCAACGGCTTTTTTAGTGTTTTCCGTATATGCGTCCCACTCGAAATGCAAAAAACAATTAGAAAAATTTTATCTACGTCTCAATATCTATCGATTAAAAAACAAACCATGCAAAAAGGGCACGCCAATCGAGGCTATTTGCCGCTCTAAAATAAACACGAGTAAAAGTTTCATTTCCCGCAATTTCTGATTACCTTTTATGCGAAATAAACATGTTATAAAGTCTCTCTAAGTTGAGCACTTTATGGACAATTTCAATTATCAGAAGATTTAATAATAAACTTCTATTGAGGCATGAAAGAAAGTATCAGGAAAGTAATTTGTAGTTTATTTTTTAATTAAAGTTTTTCTGTCAAGAGAACTTCAAAATCTGATATTTTTTACAGTTGGAGTGGGTTTGTGACAAAACTTATCTCTCCTCAGCTGCGCAATCCGCCTTCTTCGTCGGGAGTATCATCGGTGGATTCATCTTCGGATACATAGCTGATCATTACGGGAGAATTCCCGCCCTCGTGTCGTGCAATGCGGTTGGTTTTTTTGCGTCAGTCGCTACCGCATTCTGCAACAGCTTCTGGAGTTTCTGTCTTGCCAGGTTGATCGTTGGAACTTCGTTTGATAATTGTTTTAATATTCTGTTTATTATTAGTGAGTTTATATGTTCATTTTTTTTTATTTATTTAAAAAATTTCAAATTTCACCGATTTTTTGTTGCAACGGTTAACATGTCAGATAATTTTGGACAGCGGTCTTTTCAGTTGAAAATTGTGAGGAATTTTCATGAATCGGTGAAATTTAATTTTTCTAAATTCAGGTATTATTGATCTCCATACATCGGCATTAATTTCAATTTATTTCACACATAAATTTTTAGAATTTTTTAATTCAATCAATTATGCGCGAAAAACGCTATTCTAATACCATTTTATCGAAGTTTCTAGATTATATAGATAGCATCATTGCTTCATTTGATTTATGTAAAATGTTGACAAGAAATCTAACACAATTGATTAAAGAAGCAAAATAATTTCTCAATTCAATTCAACAAAATAGTATGAAAGAATAAATCCTATCTGTAAAAATTGAAAGTTTTGTGAAGTTGTTTTATATCGACGTTTGTTTTTATTGTGTCAAAAATACATATGATCAAATGATGCCACCTTATATGCCACCTGGGCCCTCAAAGTTTACATAACTAAGACACAATGCAAATAGTACTATTTGTGCAAATAGTAAAGTCACAATCAAAATTTTTGTCAGTCAGTAGTTTATTAGCCCATTATCTTTCCCGCGACCTTTACAACAAAAAGCAGAAATTTAGAAACAATTCCAAAAAAAAAACTTATTGTCGCCTCGTTTCCTCCCACACTCCTGGTAGGAGATGAGGAATGGGCCAAGATTGGCCAAGGCTGGCCCAATATTGGCCAGCACAAGGACCCTCCTTGTCACTGCAGCTCTCCTCACCAGCAATTTGCCGGTCCCTATAGCCACGCTGTAAGAGCACTTGCTCAAACAACACTTGATCCACTACCCCCACTACTGCCACTGGTGTTATATCGAAATATAACGAAACCACCTGATCGCTAATCCTCAATTTTGATTAGTCAATGAGTTGCGCCAAGTTACTTACTAAAAAATGACGCGGTATGTTGTAACTCTTCAAACTCATAAATCATTCTTTGCTTCATACAGTAGAACCTAGCAGGTCGCATACTAGCAAAATGCATAGGACCGAACAGAGATCGGCACAAATATTATTTTCACCAATATTTGTATCGCAAATACACATTTTTTGCTCAATCACTAAAAACGTGAAAATATTTTACATTATATTGTGAATGAGTATTGAAAAATTCACATCTTTAAATACCGTATTAATGAGTAATTATTAAAAAAGAAAAAAATATTACTTATCTAATCAGCAATTACATTTGAATATGATAGATTAGTCATTCAATCAATAATGAAATCAAAGATATTTTCTAATACTCATCCAATCAGAAATGAAATCTGCAACAATTTAATGCTCATCAAATCAATAATTAAATTGGAAATATTTTTAAATACTCATTTAATCAATAGTGAAAACCGAAATATTTTCATTATTAGTGATTAATTTCATTTCTATGGCAAGAGACAATCCTTATTGAAATGTCATTCCCTGTGATGTTAATCAGAAACAAATACTTTCTATCAATTATGAAATCCATCTCATTAATTGAACATTTTTAGGGAAGAGCTAGATAAAATGGAATAACGGGGGAAAATTGACCGATAAAACATATATAAAATAAAATATTTAAAATAACATTGATGATAAAATAAGATGACGAGGTAAAATGGAACAAATAATGGGTAGTGAGACAGGGCAGACACTCAAAATATAGAAAGTATCATCATCTGATCAAAAAAGTATGAAAAATGCGATAAAATGGGTGCTCCAGAGTGCAGCCTTATCAGATGATAACCAATTGACATTAATAGATCATTTACTAGTGAAAAAGGTTCAATAATAATTGAGGTGTTTTGTGTCTAGCAGCTATGTGTAGCAGCTGTATCTAGCAGCTGTTTCGTGTCTAGACTCTAGCTCACCGGCGGGGCCAGGAGGGGGGGGGGGGGGGGG